GACTGGCAGTATTTTCAGATTTAAGAAAATACTGTTTCAGTATAGACTGAACCCTCTTGTTTGAAGTTACAGTACCCTCAAGGTCCAGCCCTGATACCAGTGAAAAATCAACAGAAATCTGGATGGATAAGGAAGAGTTCAGACTCATTTTAGGGTATCTCTCCCAGTCTAAAGAGTATATGTGTAAAGAACCAAATTCGTTATAGTAGCAGGAGTTACTACAAATATCCCCCCAAAATAATTATCTAATGAATTAAAACTTTAAAAATATTAGAAGTCAGAGAAAATAAAATGTTCTGACTATTCACAAGGTTTTAGGTAAGCCGTGTTTCTCTGCCTTTCACTGCTGCTCCCTGAATTCTAAATCAAGAGACTCTCAAAGTCAGGAAGCCAGACAGACTTCCAAAATATGTGGTGACGCTCAGGGGCCTGTGAACCGGAAACGGACATTTACTGTCTTCTTTCCCAACCCAAATGGCTCCAAGTATCTGTGGCTGATGTTCTGGGATTTTGGGTTGTGGCCAGAAGACCTAACCTGAGCGACTGGCAGCGCACAGGTCATGGAGGTCATGAGTCGCTTCATCTCCACCCACTTCTCTTGCAAGGAGAGTTTACAACACTGGCACTTTCACAACAGGAGAGAGAGGAAAAAAAAAAGAGGATGTTTTTAATCCATCAGACTGCTGCTGATTCAGTAATAATAAACATGAGTCGGTTTCCTTGATTATTCTGTACACAGCAAACATTTGTGTAATGTGTCTGTTAAGTACGTGCTCTGTAAGGACCTCTCATTGAAGTGTGTCTGCGTCAATAACAAATATATGAAAATGTGGCTTTGAGTGAGTTTTTGCGTGCCTGCATGAGCAAGAAAGAGAGCAAGAACTCAATTCCCAAAACCCTTAGTCATCCTCTGATCTTTATTTCTGAGGGTGATCAAAGTACCAGCTTTTGGGAAGACAATTTGTCTCTGCTAGGCTAAAGATATTAAGGTCAGAAGATAGCATGGTTCCCAACAGCCTGCTAGGAATGAATGCAGTAAAAGTTTTGGATGTTTGCAGTCAGCACGAAGGGAGTTTGTTGCTGCTGTTGCTGCTGCTTTTGCTGTGCCTCTTGCTGTGCTACAGACATCTTGACTGGCCTCACTGATTTAATGATGAGTGTTTGTTGGCCTGCAAAATGCAAACACATTGTAAGACTGTTTGTACGCTAGCTAAACTTTTGCAGGCAGTTTACATGCTAGAATGCGCTCTTTGCACACATTGATCTGTATTCCCAAAGTGTATTGTTCTCTCCCAATGCAGACTTGCTTTTGCTCTTATTTCACCTTTATGTTGCAAAACACAGTAATGTGGCCTAACTTTCGATCTTATGAGTAGAGTAAGGTCATTTACATGACAGCTAGGCTAATTTACAATTTGTTGAAAAACTACAACTGTATTCAGAAACAAAATAGAGAGGACAATTGTACAGAAAGGTCAACATTTAATTTTGAAACACTTCTTACATTTCAGTATTAACCTCATTTTTTGGGGGGGGGGAGGGGGAAGAGCTAAATCAGGCCAACACCAAATGCTTTATTTATTTCAGATAAAACATTTCAGATCAAAGGAAAATGATATATTGTATGTTTTCCATTTTCCTTCCCCTTTCTCCATATCCCATCCCTCATTTTTTCCAGCTTAGTCATGGCCTGAAACATTTAACATTTACACAACTGTATCTCATAGACTTACAGAAGGGGAAGTACTTAAGGACTTTGCTGGATCATGACTTACATTTATCATTGGTATTAAAATGACAATATATAGGAGAAGATAAAATTTGAAGTTTAAACTAAAATACATATGGTAGCTGATACTGTATGATTACAGTGTATTGATATGATATTAGAAGTGACCAAAAAAAGCCCTACATATTAAGGTTACAAATACAGATAGGAAAAGAAATACAAAAGGAAAGCCAAAGGACAAAAAGCTGCTGAATTTTCTTGCCACTTTTCTTCAGAACTTTTTTACCTCTTCTATTTTTAGTAAAATATGATCCACACTTCTGGTGATCTGCGTCTTGTATCTCAGTGCCACGCTAGACCAGAGCTCCAGGACTGGACTACTTCTAGATGAAGGCTTTTAACATTAGATCTGACTGTGCCATTACCACTCTGTCTTTTGTCTCAGTTCTTAGACTCAGCTAACGCAGAAATGTAGATCTGAATCTGGATCCAGTGCTTTAATACCAGACTGTGTTTTGACGTTTTATGCAGCTGCTCCTTCCACCCCTCCCAAAAGAAAAAACAAAAAACAACCCACAAATGACAAAACAACATAAAACAATTAATGAAACACACAGGGTGAAACTTTAGTCCTGCTGAACTCTCATAGACCTTAATAGAACCTGAATATCATTTAACATATTTACTTTCTGGCAATCAACCAAAAACTCTTCCCAGTAGCTTGAGAAGCCATATCCCCCTCTATCCCAGTTTATCTTTCCATCGAGGCTTTGCCAAATAATGCATCTCACCCAGACATAGCGTGCAACTCCTAGTAATGTTATGTTTCTCACTCCTGCCACTCATCCACTAACAGCTGTAGTTTCCATTGCCTCCTCCCCACAAAAGATTTCTGCCTTCCTTCCCTACCATGGCATTTCCTATGCCAGAAAAAGACACATCAGATCCAGTCTCCTTTTCCAACTCTCAGGACTCCTGTTTTTTAGTCTGCTAAATTCATTTTATTCCCTCATTTAGAGTATTACTCATAAACTTTAATTACTGAAATGTCTTCATGGATAAACAAAAAGCAACGAGTTAAAATGCAGTAAGGAAGTTTCAGGTTAGACACTAGGGAGAAACAATAATCTGGAAATTACTGACATATCTCATAAATATTTGGGAGACATTTTCTACTTCCAGATGTCACTGACTGCTGAGAGAGCTCTGGGCTAAGCTCTCCATCTCAAGATGAGCTTCAGTCATACAAAAAATCAAAGAGAGGAGGCACATGCAAAGCCTGAACTGGGGACAACATAGTCCTGTCTGTGCCAGCTCACAGCGCCACGCAATGTGCTGTGTGCCCTGAAGGTGTGTGGGAGTGTCCTGATGCCGTTGTGTCCCTGAGAGCATGGGGGCATGCACACCACCATCTCTCCAAAGGTCTGTTGACCTTAAGGCAACCTTTACAGTGTATTTCCTAGACATTGTTTAGGATTGGTGCAGAAGGTTTGCATGTGTTTCATGGGACATGTATGGGTTTAGGAGATGAGGCGCTAGCTGAGACGGGAATTTCCATCCAGCCCAGCAATCCTGTGACGTTTTGCAATTTACGCATTGTCTGTCTTCAGCCAGCTGGACAGCAGTCCCGGCTCCTTGGCACTTCTGGCACATTTTTCCAGTAAGCTCTAATAAAATGCTTCCTATCGTCCCATTCCGTTGGAATGAGGAGGGTTCCCACAGAAAGTGTGCAAACTTGGCCTAACACAGCAAAGACAATGTTATCCCAGCACAGCCGACATGAAATAAACCTTTCTTATCATGCAGTAATCAAAGGGCTTTTCAGATGACTCTGACACTCCTTTTAGGTACTGTGGGATAATATGTTAGGTGCCAGACTGTCACATTTATCCTCAGTTCTCCTCTGAACTGGAAATAAGGATAAAAATTTTAATGACGCTGTCCTTAGACATGGCTTCGCAATATACTACATGTCTAGACTGCTGCAAAATTAGAAGGATTTTGTTTGAATGATTTGTTTATATGACTCCCATAATAAATAGCCCAAGTCTCTCTAGTTGTATTAAAAACACATTGGAGCAAATTCTATGCCTCATTACACCACGGCAAGTGCACCGTCAGCTATCAGGAGTTACTCTTTGAGAACGGAATTTGTTTTGCCATGTTTGTAGTCATTGCACCGATGAGAAGTTTGGCTCCAGGGTGTTGCATGCATTGGAGTATCAAGGGGTGTAAAGCTGGAGGAAGCCTAAGGCTTTTGAACTAAGAGGAGAGAATTAAATCAGGTTTTGACTTCATCTAGTCCCATAATTCATCTGCAATAGAGATGATGCATGAGAAATGCAGAGTACTGAAAGATTCAGAAACCAGTGCCTAGCCCAAAGGAGAACAAATGGAAACATCATTGCCTAGAATTGATGTGTTTGTGACTTCAACCTAAGCAGAAGCAGGCCTCGCAGAACACTGTGTCATCCTGAAGATGGGTGCTTTGCTAGAGAAAGTTATGATGCGTTCTCTGTAACCCATTTGCTCCAGACTTTGTCTGCCCTGCCCTGATTGTACTCAGACTTATTCAGTCTTGCAAGTTAAGTAGCTCAGACATGTCTGGTCCTTGAATGTGAGAGTGGTGGGAGGTCCCAGTTACAAAAGTCTCAGGCCAAGAAGATACAGCTGAAGAATCAGTGTCTGAGCCTGCCGGAGCTGGGATACTGCTTAGCCACACTACCCCAGCCTTGTTTAAGCAGACAGCCAGTTTCTACTTTACTTTTTTCTTACACATGGGGGGTTTCCCCAAAGCTGTGTACTCAGAGCTGGGGGAGTCTCTATGCCCCTCTGCATTCATGGCAGGCTTTGTGCATTCTGAGACAGCATCTGCTGTGCACCAGGAAATGCCCAGAAGAATTTAACTGTGAATCACAGATTTCACAGGTTGATGTCAAAATCACATGATTTTTCTTTCCCTGTGCCATGATCAAGTTCTTTTGGAGTAGCTGACTCAAACACCCAAGGCTGTCTGTCATGAGCTGGAAGGTTTCTGTGCCAGGAAGCTCATCCCCAGGGCTCCAGGGGAAAAGCTGGTGGAGGTGCTGCCTTCAGACAGCAACAATTTTGCCCCAGCACTACCCAAGCAGTTGCAGCTGTGGGTCTCCACAGCTTTGCCCCCAGCTGCAGAAGCTGCAGAGAATGAGGTAAACAAGGCTGAGGGAGACAGCTACTTTGAGGAGGTGCTTCAAAAAGGGCCTTTTTCTGAGGCTGAAGAGCCCAGCTTGCTGAACGTGACAAAGATGCATTCTGTGTGGAGGAAAGAAACCTCAGTTGCTGCCAAAAAATTGTGTTCCAGATGCAAGCTGACGAACTGTCACTGCAGAAGGTTAGGATGATACAGGCCACCTTCCAGGAAATCTGCAGGAAGCAAAGCACTGAGCTGCAAAGGCAATGCAGAAGAGGCAGTACAGTAGTAGAAAACCTCTTATCTCTTCAAAATCATGAAGCCATCGCCATCCTGCCTTCTGCTCAACAGGTTGGCTCAGGTAGGTCATCTATGAGGCCACGAAGATGAAAGCTTACCAAGTGAGATCTCTCCTTCGCATATGGAGGCCTGTGCTATAGTTAGTATTGTAAGTTGGTCTGGAAATGTGTCCAGTGCTAAAATCCTTGGGAACTCCTGTCTCTTTTTCTCTGATGAAAAAAGCTCAGTGTGTGGCTGGCAATAGAGCCAGCAATCTATCTACAAGTGATGCTTTTTGCTGTTCTCTGGTCAGTGGAAACATTTGCAGAAACGACAGCCTGGTGACCGTGGAGGAGTGCTAGCACACCTGATGACATGCCAAATTGAGTGTGACAGCGCACATTAAGCCCATCTGTGTGGCTTCAGTCAGGTCCCTTTCTCAGCAAGGAGCTGGTGACTAACCCTTAAGTGTTAACAGGGAGCAAGTTCCCTCAGCAGTAGCTGAGGCTGGGAGCTGAGAGAAGAAGATGCCATTACTCTGATGCTGGTTGCCATCACCTGACTCAGGCATTTCAGGGGAGACCAGCTGTTTAGGTGAGCCACCTTTACTTTAACTGTTTAACTTTGCCTTGAAGAGGCCAGAGGTACTTAGTATGTCAAGCATCCTGCCCCACTCCATTGACCATGCCCCTTTACAGGCACTCATCTTTGGCTCTGCATGTGAAAGTACAAGTTAGGAAGCTAATATGAGCTGGAGAATCAAAAAAGGACTGCCCTTGCAGGTGCACTTTTGTAATCCCAGTGCAACCTGAGTGTGCCAAATAGTACAGCGTTTAGTGCAGAATTCCATTTGGATCCAGGTAGGATGCCTCAAGCATTTTAGGCATGGGAACTACAGCAAGTATTTTTCTAACTGAACCATGCTGTAACGCTTCAGTGAGGATATCAAGAGCATGGGAAGGAGAGAAACTGGACTGAAGCTGCAAATCTTCTTCTAAAAGAGAAGATGGTCTTAATGATAGTAAAAGCCTGGGAGCAGATTCCAGCCTTCAAGGCATCTGGTATGTAACAGTGACACCCAATGTTCTTTGCATTAGCCATAGATTTTTTGAGGAGGTCACTTTTTCTTTCTAGGGCTCTGTATACTTCAGGGCATTTTCATTCTGCCTAATTTTACACACCTAATTCAGTCAGTAATGTGACAAGTCTATCTCCCCAGACTGTCTTTACCATTAACAGAGAGACAGATTGGTTCTTTTAGAACGGTGTAGAGCACAAATTTACCTTGGGTACCTCTGAATCCCTCTGAGGTACCTACTAACTTGCAATGGAGCCTGTAGCATCATAAATCTGGGAGTCAGTGTCTAAATTTATGTGCTGTAAATAAGACCCTCAAGGCCCATTTCAAAACCATTTTATAGATTTCACTGGAGTTACTCCATATTTATGTCGCTGTTTGCAAGATCAGAATTTGACATAGCTCTCATTTTCACTCTGGCACCTCTTGGTCTTCATCAGGAGGCTGCTGGTGGGTTTGAATTTTGTTTTTAATGTCACTGCACTCATTTGCTAGTTTTCGGTTTGAGTGGATGTGAGCATCGGCTTCTCTATCTGAGAAGCTTCTCCATCAGTGGGGGCAGCCGCAGCAGACTGCACTTCGTATTCTCTTCCCATCCCTATGCCTCAGTGCAGCAGCAAGCCAATTATATGAATTAATTGCATCACATTTACTGAGACAAATGCAAAGCAATTACACTAATCCTAGAATCCCTTTGGTGGCATAAATATGTTTAAATCACATTTACGCTGTGCTGCATGACTATATTTGTATAGTCTGATTAGTTCTCCCAGTCTACTCTCAGGAGCAACAGACACACTAGCAAAAGAGGGGAATTTAAGCACAGCTGAAGTGAGACATGGCTTGATGTGCGCACACAGTGCCACACACACCTCTGCTACAAGCCTGCGCAAGCTAATGGACTTCCATCAGAACCACATTTGCCCCATGGTAGTTATGTCCTATGAAGGCCCAAGGCCACATTGCAGGTGCAGAAAGCTTGGCTCCGTACAGGGTGAAGTTGGCAGCCCCAGAGGGATTTACTCTCTCACCTTCTGTCAGACAGCTGGCCTGTGTGAACGCAAGGTTGGTTTGCTTTTGATCATACGCTACCAAGAGGTAAACGTGCAGCTTTACTAGCAGGGCCCTGGGCAGGGTGGCTGCCCTAAGGCTGGCACACAATGAGGCTCTCAGTTCAACCAACAGCCACCAAATCCTGGCTTGAATCCTCATCTTTTAGAGGACAAAATGTGCAGTGCTGCTGGTACCCGTTTGACTCTCCCAGCTGTTGCAAAGGCATCCATATAATCATAGGATCTAGGGAGGTGAGTGCCCCCAGGTTTTCTGTAGCTCCATACTGGCATATCCCTAGTCATTATTCATAATATATGGAGAGGTTCAGAAGTTCTGCAGTCTTTCTGTGCTCCTTTCCATGACAAATTTATGCAAAATCTCCCTAGAATGAACGGATGCAGAGAGAAATGACCTCCCTGGAGCAGGTTAAAACAGTAAGAAGCAAGCAATAACTGGTGATGAATATCCAGCTAACCCCAGAGACACATGTCTGGGTACTCACAACTCCTCCATGAGATCACGTACTGCAAATGTCAGTTAATACTGCATTTAGTGCCAAATATTAATCACAGAAACAACCAGCAGTTGTTAATAATGACACCTATTTCAAATAAAGTAAAGATTTGGAACACAGACTGAGGTGAATTCTGTGAATTTATTATGATGTGGATCAGTGCTCATCTTAATGGTGCTGACTTCAACCAGGAAAACTGGTTCACTCCAATTTTCTCCAAAGAATTCATTGGTTATATCCAGATGTTAGGACTTACAGGGTTGGTTATGTGGTGGGCTTTCACAATAAGATGTGAATTGGTCATGGAAAAAAATTCAATAAAACTGTTTTTCTCAAAATAATTATTAGTTTGTAGTACAGTGTACACCACAAGTTTATGGTAAGCTTGAAAACCCATAGTAACGTAGGAAGTCTGCTCCTTTGTGGACACTGTCACTACTGTCACACTGCAAATCATTACACTGCAGACGCTTGCAAAAAAATCATCACGAAATTATGAAGAAGGCAAGGAATGAAATCTGGGAGGCTTCACATTTCCTCCTGGTTCAGCTACAGGCTTTCTGTGTGACCTAAAATACTGATTTTTTTCATTGCCACAGTTTTCCCTCAGTAAAATGGAGATAGTGTTTCCTTTCTTTCCAAATTCTTTTTTTCCTTTCTTTTCTATTTAGATTGGAAACTTTTTTAAACCAAGAATATCTCTAACTGTATATTCATCAGAACAAGCAGGGGAGCTCCAGCAACCACAGTGAAAATAGCAAAATGAAGAAACAAACAAGAAGAGGGTGGAAAAAGCAGGATATCGGTAAACAAAGAAGAATGAAAAAGTGTCCTGAGTTTAAAAAAACAAAAGGAGAGAGGTAAGGGAAGTAGAAGGGAAGCATGAGTTCGATGAATTGAAGAAACAAAAGACAGAAAGCAGACAAAAATAGAAAAATCAACAGGACAAAACCCCAGAATCAGAAAAACAAAGTGAGGAGGAAGAAGCAGGGGGAGGAAGACAGAAGACCTGAAGCACTGAAGATTAGAAAAATGAAGGAAGCCAGAAATAGTGTTAAAATAATTTTAGTATCGTCTCGGACTGCGCTAAAATCCTAAAAATGAGGGAGACTGACCTCTTGGTTTTGGCCCCCTCTGGCATACTCTGAGTATCTAGAACATTGGTGAGTCAGTTGCAGTTTGGGTCTCTGAGAATACAGTGTTGGGCCCTTATGGTGCTCCTAGGAAAAACATACAGAACCATGCCTAGAGCAGTATTATGCAGGAGTGGTGTGATGTCAGCATTTCCTTGGGGAAGAAAAATTTCCTGCAGAATACTGAAAATCAAAAGTGATTTCCAGGAAGCAAAAACCAAACCATCAAAAAACAACCCAATCACGCATGAATGATAAGCAAATAGAATTCACTTTCAGCCATGTAGCTTTGAGTCACAGGGCAGTGCATGCATTCTGTCTATTGTGTGACTCAAAAAACAATGGGGTGTTTGCAACGTGACAGAAAGTCTGTGTCCATCTTGCATGTCACCTTTCCCACGAGGTTTCAAACAAGATAGACTAATTCCTCTGACAGGAAAACCCACTCCAGATGTAAAGGTCAAGTATTTTTAAAACTCAAACCATGTTGCTGATGGGGCCTGTGCCTTTCTGTCTTGAGGAGTGGTAAAGGGGACCAAAAAATGTGTGTGTGTGTATATGAGAGAGAGAGAGGGATGGGTGAAGACTAAGATTGCTTAACAGCAAGGATGCACCAAGGACAGCTCAGGAAATCCCCTCTCACATGTTCTCATTTCTTATTTTACATTGGAAGCTTTGCATTCCAGCTTGCTGTGGCTTGGAGCCATGTATTACATGGATGCCTTTTCCCAGACAAGTTAAAAGAACAAGTAAAACACGCCTCCAGTAGCTGTGATTTTCTATGTTTAATTTTTGGCCGATTTACCTCTAAAATAATGACAACAGCAATACAGTATTTACAGACTGCAAATGCCAGTACTGTCTCATGAATGAATCCAATGACACTTCTGCACAAGACTGAAGTATTTGTTCCATATAAATACACTTTAAACACCACACATACTAAGAAACACTTTCCTACAAAGCAGAACAAAGGAATCGTGAAATGAAGCATAGTTGAATCTTGCCCATAAAGAGTTCAGCGTAAGGAATTCTTGTTGCTTGTTATGCTATCGAAATAAAACCTCCTCTTTCTCTGCAAGACCTCTAGCACTCAGCTGTGCTAAGAATTGTAAAATATTCATTTATCTACCACCTTTTCTTAAGTGAAATATTGTGGCTCTCTTTGGCATCTCAAAACATTGGCAAACTCTCCAAAGAACAGATGGCAAATATCTCCCATATTAATGTAAGAAAAGGGTTATTTTTGAGTCTGAAAACATGAGCAATGAAGAAAATATGATTTTCTGACAAAACAAGTAGTCATGCTAGAGTGAGAACTTCTATCCTGATGTACCCCAAAACAGAAGTACCAGTAATAACTATATCAGTTTTTAACCTCATTTGTATTGTAGTCACAATTGATGTAACTGAGGTTTCAGCCACTACTGCAGTAAGGAGCTGATCACTCCTGAGTCAACATGACAGCCCATCTTGGTGCTGGAGGAATAATCCATGATGCTGAGGTTGCAGCTGGAGGCCAAGATGTTTCACTTGAGGCTGTTAAGGGATGTGATGTTCCACAGAAACCCTGGGAAATGGCCATACAGTAGATGCTTCTGTTCCACTGAAAGAGCTAAATCTAGCATGGGTGACTGAGATTCTGCCTGACTTTCATATAGCAAATAACTAAAGCTGTTGCCAGGATGTCTCTTAAATGTGGTCTCCACTTGAGAGGTATTTCACTTATTTTTTCTCTCAGTTCATCATTCTTCATATTTTAAGAGTGAATCACTGACATCTAGCAAAGTACAATTTTTATTAGCATTGCCTGAACCTCAGGTTGTCAGCTCAGGTCCATATGCTTGAGAAGGCACAGTCTTCCAATAGAAAATGCTCAGACTCTAAACTCATCAGACAATAATCTCATGATTTGAGTGAATAAAATGTGTTAAATTATGGATAAAAAACACGTATACACATTCTCATTATTACAGACTGGGAGTTTTTGTTTGGGTTGTA